GAATTCCGTGGCGTTGCGTGCCGCCGTCGTCCAGTCGGGGCGATTGGGTGGCCCAGGACCAGCGGGACCGCCCCCACAGAGCCCCGCAGAGCGCGCCGTGTCGTATGATGCGAGTAAATCACTTGACCGCATACCGCTGGTAGAAATGTGTCTAGTGCGGACATCCGCGAGTGTGCTGCTCCCGTATAGGCTCCAGCAATGCACAGAATGAATTGGGAACGACGACAATCTGCATAGCAGGCAACCAAGGGGAGGGGTGCGGGGTGCGCAGGCGGAGGCGATGCTTGGTCTGGGCTGTTGCATCTAATCGGGGCGTGTGTCAGGGTGGTGCGTGACGGTGCGTCAGGCGGCTTGGCGGGGGGCAATCCGTGCGTCGGCGTAGGGCGCGCGTCAGCTTGCGAAGCGTCAGGCGACGCGGTGACTTGCCTTGCGCGGAGTCACGCGCTTGGAGTCACGCGGCCTCGCGCACACGCGAGGCGCACGCGGCGGTCCGGGAATGCGGGCGCGGGGGCCGCGCATGCCCCCGCTGGGTGCCATCGCGCTTACAGCGCGTGGGCGGCGCGCCGGGGCCGGTTTCCCGACGCGGGGCACGCGCCGCATGCAGCGGACGGCGCCGTGCGCATAGGGGGAGCTTTTGCGCGCTTTGGGTACTTTACTTACAACCAGGGAGAACCCGCTTTTGCGCGGCGCGGGATCCCGCGTGGGAGAAGGTGGACGCGATGTGTAAACGGCGAGGTGGTCGGCGGCGGGCTGCGCGAGGTGCAAAGCGCTGGGTTGGGCGCGCGCCCGTCAGCGTCACCCCCGTCTGACTGGCCGCGCGCCCATGTAAGCACGGCATTACAGCTGTCCGCCAGGCGCGCGGAGGTAGGTCGGCTGGTGTGCCGCGTGTACGTCGCGCCCGACGCACAAGTCACCCCGCGAGCACCCGACCGTTTCGCCGCGCCGTACCTCCTCGTCAACTTGTAACCGACTTATTCTTCCCGTCCGCTTTAACCCCGCCACCTCTACATAGCAAACGACAACTCACCCCTGCCCCGCCGTGCGCCAGTGCCCCCCTTTAACGAAACGTCTACCCGCAAACTGACTGCCGCCCCGAGTCTGTCCGCATGCTCTTGCGTTCTCGCCAACTCAAGCCTGCCGCGACCGCCGCCCCTGTCGCAATCTCGCCCTCCGCCCCAGGGGCCAAGTCACCCACGCCTGCCCTCCCTCCCGTCCCCCTGACATAGTTCATCTGCGCACACGCGAGAGACAGGCACGCGCGAGAGGCATCCATCCGCTCCCTGCAACCGCATGACGCGGTTGCAGGGAGCGGATGGATGCGGTCCGCCTCTCCCAGTCACA